AAGGGCAATTGTCTCTAGATTAGCCCGCTCTATTTAGATGTTCAAAATATGACCCAGTTTTTTATATTGCGTGGTAAAGTTGCGAATTCTCCCATTTAAACAATGTAAATTTATATTTTTTGTCATAGTTCGTTTGAGCGTTCTACCGGACCGATTTCCATGATTTTTGCGGTTAGCGACAGGTGGTAGCCCCTAGATGAACCCGCTTTAAGCAGATTTTGGAAATAAGACCCAGGTTTTTTTACAATCACGTTATAAAAGTGAGCGAATTTACAGAATGTTCCGCAACTTCTGCCGCTATGCGCAGAAGGTTGCGCAGTGGTCGAGGAGGTTGCGCAGTGGCTGTGTAGCCTGCGCAGTGGCTGCGTAGCCTGCGCAGTGGCTGCGTAGCCTGCGCATCAGCTCTATACTTATGTGCGCAAGATTCACCGCTTAAATTTAAGACGGGCAGTGGCCGAGTCGTCAAAGGCGTCTACTGCGCCTGCACACTCCGAGGTAGAGGTTCGATTCCTGGCTCCTCGGCTACTCAAATTATGACCTGATCATCGTCAATCGTTGTTTTACTGCAATGTTTCATGAATCAGATTAACGCGTTCTCTTGACTTCAAATGTGATTTTTCTTTATTCATCGAAAAAAAAAATCATTTTATTCTAAAAGTAAAGTATACCTCATGTCGTAATTTGTTAGGGAAAAAATAAAAACAACATTGACAGGAGGCTAAAAATAGGGCCGCGAAGCGCCTTCAGGGGGTTGGGCGGCCAGAGGGCGTAGCCCCCTAGTACCACTTACCTTATCCACTCATGAGTGTAATGCTAGCATTATACTAGTTACTTGCAGTATACTAGTTCTAGTACACTTCTAGTAGCCGTTCTAGGCGCGCTTCTCGCGTCCGTCGCGGCTAGCCAAGGGGCTGGACCCCTGTGAGTGACACTCGGCTCTGCATACTTTCTCTGATGTTTTTCTTTCATTCTCTCTGAGTGCATAGGTAATCATATCCTTTTTTGAATACTCAAGGAGTAAAAAATAATTATTTTTACTCACTCTTTATTTTCGGTCAAATAGGGAAAATGGTGAGATAAGAAGGGGATCAAGGCCTCCCTAAAATTTATCTGTTTGAGGGGGAAGAAGGGTTACGCAAACCTGACGTAAGCTAAAATTGGTGCTAATAACCCATTTTTCAGAAAATATTTGCTCTAAGTTCTCAGAAGGGATTTTTCAGAATTCACATCACAATGTGCGAATACTGTTGCTCGAGGTTGTAAAATACAATGATAATGATTGTCACAAACATCGTTGAAGTTGATAATGGATTAGAATTGTGGTATTCGTCAAGTTGGTAGTATGCACTCTAAGGAGATCTTTCCCTAATAGGTCGTGAATCCTGGATTAGCTCTTGTATTCTTATCAATAAAATCTAATCTTCTCCCTTGATCAGTGTCCCACTTTTCACCTTCCTTCAAAGGCATCTTTTGCGATATTATAATGGCGACGAGTAGGTACGGGACCCGAAGCACGAAGAACTTTCACAAAACCATAAAACGCTACGCCACTCGTATGTATGGCCCTTGGAATTATGTATGATAGTGATGGTGGTCGTAAAAAGTGCCACTACTATACTAGTGTCAGTGCCACACTGACCTATGCTGAGAGATCTACTACGACGGAGGGTGCGGATTGAGAGGCCTCCTTTCTCTTACAGCATACTCCGTGCTCCATCTCAGTCGACCTTTAGAAATGCAGTTGGCCTCATTGAGATAAAAAAGTCTCCAAGACATGACGAAACCATCGGTTTAATGCAACTCGCGAAAGCCAGTTTCGCTGCCCGTGTTCGGTCGCGCACTTTTTCACCCCCCCCCCCCCCCCCCCCCCCCCCCCCCCAGGGGTTATGTTTTGAGCTGTGACTCAGTCGACCTTTCAAGAAGCATCCGGAGTCATTTGTATAAAGAGTTCTCCAAAACATGGTAGAAGCATCGGTTTGATCCGACCCCCGCAAGCCAGTTTCGCTGCTCGAATTCGGCTCCCCCCCCCTTCCCCCCGGGGGGGAGGTATATTCTGAGCTGCATCTTAGTCGACCTTTCAAGATGCAGTCGCATTTGCGTAAAAAATTCTCCAAAAAATGGCGAAAGAATCGGTTTAATGCGACTCGCCGAAGCTGATATCGGTGGCGTAAACACCCCCCCCCCTTCCCTAAAGGCAAAATCGTTCAGTTTTTGAGTTCGGGTGGTCTCTAGTCTATTCAGAGGATACGATAGACTAAAAAAACCATTACAGAAGCTTGAAGCTTTGAATCTTATTGTCGAAATTCACCTGATTTATTAGATGACTACTTGGATCGGACCCTTACCTGCTCAGTGGTCAGTTACACTGACCACCTTTATAAATAATTATTCATGGCCGTTTTGGTGCGACATACTGTTACCAACCATGTAGTTATACTTGGGATATGGTCCAGAGTATGAAAAAGAATATTTCCAGGCGATTTTATGTCGGCAATATTGTTTCATCATCTATTGTTTACCTCCAATTCGTTGGAGGTTTGGTGCTGCCGGTGTTATCTCCAGTTTTGCAGTTGTCGGTTGTTTGTGCGACGTAAATGGTTATGATTTAGTAGTAAAATATGAAGTTAGACTATAGTGCTGTGAGAAAATCATTGGGTAAGTGAAAAATTCAAAAGTTGTGATTATTTAATTCATGCTGGAACATGGTGGTTAGTATAACTGACCTTCGAGCAGGTGGCGAGGAGCTGGAACTTTGTTGCTGAGTGGATTCATCTTCTCCTCATTTTGACGATTTATTTTATTTACTTGTTTCAAACTTATTACACAAATAATTACATTACCTCGAGGTCATCAAACTTTCAGTCTGATAATTTTTTTTTTTATTTATTTTAATTTTTTTATTATTATTTTTTTTTATCGGTAATTTTTACGATTATGTTCATTATTTTTAATCATTGACCAAAATTATTGTTTTACAATTGCTAGTCTCATGTGGAAAAGGACCAGTAGCGTTACATTGTAAGAAAATGAATTTATTTCATTGTGAGGAGTCTTTGATTGCCTTCTTACTTATTCCAGTTACGCTCATATATTCCTCATTTCGAGTTTCTTTTTATATATTTCTTCTCTTTTTATACTCTTTTATAATAAATTATACATGTTTTTAAGACTAGCTTCACTCAATTTCCAAAAACAGAGACTCTATCACTTACAAATATGCAAGAAAAAATGAAAAACTTACAAAACCTACGTATTCAACATTTATAATTCACTGGTAAAGTTAGTATGGAAGGTAAGGGGAGGTCTGTGAGGGAGGGGGCGGGGGGTTGGAGGGGGCAGTGGATGTCTTGCACGGATAATTACAGACAAGGATCATTTTTTACATTAAAACAAAAATAAACACGAAAATTATATCAACATAGGTGAATAGGAAATTTGCGTATTCCTACCCTGCTCGGTGGTCAGTCATACTGACCACCCTTTTTTGTCAAAATTTTCTGGTAAAAAAAAAGTCAAAACAATTTTTGTTCACTAATTTTCAGTTACTTAGATTAGAGAGGCCTTAGAAAACTCGAAATTTCAAAAAAAAAAAGTTAGAAACCCATAATGTGTGCAGGTAAAGGTTCGATCAGTTAGGTCAGTGTAAAGTACCTCAAGAAGAATGGGCAGCAAATCTACGTATTCACATGGGAAAAGAGCTCAACTCCACTCTCAGAGACTTTGTTTACCCTTCTGTAAGGTTGAATCACTGTCCTTTGAACAGATTTGTATTATCCTCTCAATTCTAATAAAATAATTTTTAAGACGCTCAATGGACGGGGTGAGGTAGGAGAGAAAGATGGCCTAAAGGTCGAATTCCAAAGAAGGAATCGAACTTCAGAGTAAGGAGAAAGTCATCTATCTCTATCTGTACTACAATCTCTCTCTATACTATAAGCTCCGAGACATCCTAATTTTGCGTAACTGTTAACGCTTAGTTTCAGCGTTCTACCGGGCCGATTCTTATGGTTTTTGCGGCTATCGACGGCCAATTGTCTCTAAATTAGCCCGTTTTATTCAGTTTTTCAAAATATGACCCAGGTTTTTTTACATTACGTGGTAAAGTTGCGAATTCGCCCATTTAAACAATGTGAATTTATACTTTTTGTCATGGTTCGTTTGAGCGTTCTACGCTGATTTCCATGATTTTTGCCTAAATCGACAGGTAATTGGCCCTAGATGAGCCCGCTCTAAGCAGATTTTGGAAATAAGACCCAGGTTTTTTACAATCACGTTATGAAAGTGAGTGAATTTACAAAATGCTCCGGGACTGCTACCGCTATGCGCGGGAGGATGCGCAGTGGTCGAGGAGGTTGCGCAGTAGCTGTGTATAGTCTACGCATCAGCTCTATACTTATCTACACAAGATTCGCGCCGATTACCCCAAGTCGAGTGGTGGCCGAGTCGTCTAAGACGTCGGCAGCGTCCACCTGGATCAAGGTGTGGGTTCGATGCCCGACTTCTAATATATTAAATAATTACCGTATTATCATAATTCGTTGTTTTACTGCAATATTTCATCAAGCAGTCATTCCAAAACGCGTCCTCTTTACTTCAAAAAAAATTTTTCTCTTTATTCATCAAAACCAAAAATTATTTCATTCTAAAAGTAAAGTATACCTCATATGGTAATTTTTGAGGGGAAAAATAAAACTAACACTGATAGGAGGGTAAAAATAGAGCCGCGAAGCGGCCCATCGATGGTGCGGAGCACCTTCAGGGGGTTCGGGCCGCGTAGCGGCCAGGGGACATAGCCCCCTAATACTATAAGCTCCGAGACCTACTGATTTTGCGTGACTGGTAACGCTTAATTCCAGCGTTCTACCGGGCCGAGTTTCATGATTTTTGTGGCTATCGACGGACAATTGTCGCTAGATGCGACCGCTTTATTCAGATTTTCAAAATATGATCCAGGTTTTTTTACATTACGTGGTAAAGTTGCGAATTCTCCCATTTAAACGATGTAAATTTATGTTTTTTGTCATAGTCCGTTTGAGCGTTCTACCGGACCGATTTCCATGATTTTTGCGGTCAGCGACAGGTGATAGGCCCCAGATGAGCCCGCTCCCATCAGATTTTGGAAGTAGGACCCAGGCTTTTTTACAATGAAGTTATAAAAGTGAGCGAATTAACAGAATTCACCGCAACCTGCTGCCGCTATGCGCAGAAGGTTGCGCAGTAGCCGAGGAACTGCGCATCAGCTCTACTTATCAACACAAGAATCCCAAGATTCGCCTCGGAAACTTCAATATCTGCGGTGGCCGAGTCGTCTAATTGTAAGACGTCGGAAACGGTCACATTTTTCAGGATGTGGGTTCGATTCCTGACTCCTCAGGCACTTAATTTGTGACCTGCTAATCATCCTTCGTTGTTTTACTGCAATGTTTCATTAATCAGTCATTGCAAAACGCGTCCTTTCGACTATAGAATTGTTTTTTCTTTATTCATCAAAAACAAAAATCATTTTATTATGTAGCAGTTGGTAGTGTGTATGAGTAGTGATATTGTCGCTACTTAGGTGTCAGGCCTGCTGGGCAAGGTTGTATCTTTATCAATACATTCTGTCGTTATGTCACGCAACTCGTGCTCTTCTCTTTTCCGTCATCCTTAATTTCTTCCGATATAACAAATGGCGACGAGTTTAATTTCTTCCGATCTTCAAAATTCGGAACTCTCTCTCTTCAACGTGTTTTTGCGTTAACGGTCGCGTTTTCCTCGCGCTATCGCTCGACCCCGTGCCGTGAAGTGTGCATCGCATCATGTCGGATGGTGAAACAGGTCCTCCTCAACCTCAAGGCCTCGAAGCTAAACTCGCCCAATTAACTGACTTGGTCCTGCAGCTTGCCGCTTCCCAATCTTCACCGACGGTCCAATCCGCCTCCCGGTTCTCTTTTGATGCTTTCTCCACAACGTCTCAAGAACAGATAGAGGATTACTTCGACAGGTTCGAACTCAAATTGAACTTATGCCATGTGCCTAAAACTCAATGGGCAAACCAGGCTCGAGTGCACATGGGCCCCGAGTTAAATGCATCATTAAATGCTCTTTGTTTTCCTGTCCTTCCTAGCTCGCTTGACTTTGCATCACTCAAAAACAAGCTCATTTCTCACTATGCCAAATCGCGTAACAAATTTAGTGAAGCCATCACCTTCCGGAAGATTCATCAGCACGCTGATGAGTCTATATCAGATTTTGTGTCTCGCCTCAAGACCGGTGCGCGATATTGTGAGTTTGGCGACTTCCTAGATTACTCGCTTAGTATCCAGTTCATCCACGGCCTGTTTAGCGATGACATCCGCGATGAAATTGTAACGAAGCAACCTGCCAACTTCGATGCTGCTGTCGCTGTGGCGACTAACCTCGAATCTTCCTTTCAAGCCTCTGCCATCCTCAAGCCCACTTCTGCCCAACACTCAACCACTATCAGCAAGTTTTCACATGAAACTAGACCCAAACTCAAGAAAAACTCAGGAAACTATCGGAGCCGCAGTCATCCTCACAGTAAGAACTCACACCGCAGCCCTTCTCACAGTAAGAATTCTCATCGCAATCCTTCTCACAGTAAGAACACAAACTCTTGTTTATCTTGTGGAGGTTCTCATAACCGCAGTACATGTAAATTTAATAATGCTGTCTGTAATTACTGTAAAATCCGAGGTCACATTGTCAATGCATGTAAGAAGAAAAAGTACTCTAATGGTAAAGAAGTTCATGATAATACCAGAAACAATTCTGATAATTCTAAAGTTCATGGTTTTCGTCCCGATTCTGATACTTATTATCTGCAACATCAATTTAAATCGATCTCTGGCGGCAGTCCACCAATTTTGCTCGATGTCCTCATCAATGGTAAATCACTCCGTATGGAGCTCGACACAGGTGGTCCCTGTAGCCTTATCAGTCATAGCACGCTCCAAAAATTATTTCCTCGTGCCAGAATGACTAAAATTAATGAAAGTTTCACCTCTTACACTCAAACTAAGTTCAACTGTATAGGTTACATTTGGGCTAAAGTGACTTTCAGGAATCGTACTGAGTACCTCAAATTATTCATCACTGATATCCCTGGCGATAACATTTTTGGTCGTCAATGGATTAAACCTTTTGCAGATCTCCTCTCTCTTCATGAACTCCTCCACAATCAAACTGATATTAACAATGTATGTGCACACAATTCTCTAAATAAAATGGACTCTATTAACCTTAACAAGTTTCTCGACAAACACAAAGATATTTTTGGGGATAAAGCAGGTACCCTCACTGGACCTCCTCTTGATTTTCACTTCAAGCCAGGTGCAAAACCTAAATTCTGTAGAGCTCGACCGCTTCCCTATTCCATGCTAGATCAGTACGCTGCCCAAATTGATGAAAAAATCAAATCAGGATTCTATAAAATGGTTGATCATTCTGAGTGGGCTAGTCCCACACATGTTGTTGTCAAAAACAACAAGCTGAGAATTACGGGCGATTATAAAACCACTCTCAATCCTAACCTAATAATTGACGACTATCCTATTCCCAGGCCGGAGGAACTCTTTGCAAAAATTCGTGGCTGTAAATACTTTTGCAAGCTGGATGTTAAGGACGCATTCATGCATCTTCGGTGCTCTCAGGCTGCATGCGAAGCGATGACTTTGAACACTCCAACGCATGGGTTAATCCAGCCTACAAGAGCGCAGTACGGTGTCTCTAATATCCCTGCTGCCTGGCAACGTCGTCTGGAGCAAATTTTAAAAGGTATCAAAGGAGCCGTCAATTTTTTTGATGATATATTAGTATTTGGTTCCTCAATTGAAGAAATCTTTGCAATTCTTGACAAACTTTTTCAGAAGCTGAGAGAGGCGGGTATTATACTCTCTCGCGAAAAATGTCAATTCTTCCTCACATTTATTGAATTTCTTGGTCACATGTTGGATGGAGAAGGAATTCATAACCTAGATAAACATGTTCAAGCTATAGTTCAAGCAAAGAAACCTGAGTCTGCTGAAGAACTTCGAACATTTTTAGGCAAGGTTACGTACTATCATTCTTTTATTGATAACCTCTCGACACGCACTTATCCTCTAAGGCAAATGCTTCAAACCTCTCATTTTGAATGGACCAAAGCTGGTTTGGCTGCCTATGAAAATCTCAAAAGTGAGCTCATTTCTGACAAGGTATTAACACCTTATGATCCCAGTTTACCGATAACGCTTGCAGTTGATGCAAGTCCAGTGGGACTCGGTGCTGTGTTGTCACACATCATGCCAAATGGCACTGAAAGGCCAATTGCCTATGCAAGCAAAAGTCTTAGTGAAACGCAACAACGTTATGTCAGCTTGATAGAGAAGCCTTAGCTATCGTCTGGGGTATCAAACGTTTTTTCCAGTACATTTACGGTCGTTTATTCACCCTCATCACAGATAATGAACCATTATCACACATCTTTGCTCCTGATTCATTATTGCCAAAATTTACTTTGTCTCGATGCTCAAATTATGCCAGTTATCTCACTAACTTTACTTATAATGTCAAATTTAGACCCTCAAAACAAAATGCCAACGCTGATTACCTCTCTAGAAGTGTCAATGGTAACTATGATCCTACTGATGATCTTCCAGACCACTTCCACTCTTTTGTATCGGCGCAAATTGATCAATCGCCCCTCAGCACAGAAGCTATCGCTTTGGAAACTCAACAAGACCCAGAGTTGTCTACACTCTTCCAAGCTCTTGAACAAGGTAAAGACCTCAAAACTCTTGGGTTCAAAGGGAATCAGCTGGAATACTCTATTGTTCAAGGATGCTTAATGCTCGGACATAGGGTCGTCATCCTTCAAAAATTTCGTCAGAAATTATTGGATGAACTGCATCTCGCCCACTTGGGAATCACCAAAATGAAAGGCATTGCTCGCTCCATCATCTACTGGCCTAACATCGACAAAGACATCGAAAGTATTGCAAAATCTTGTATTCCATGCCTCGAGAATTCAAGAATGCCACCCAAATGCAATAATCATGTTTGGGAGTATCCAAAAAAAACCCTGGGAACGTGTTCATGCTGATTATGCTGGACCAATTTTCGGCAAATTTCTTCTGATTGTTGTTGACGCATTTTCAAAATGGACAAAAATCTTCACCACAAGCTCTACAACTAGTGAAAAAACTTCTGAACTGTTGTTTGATTCCTTTGCAGAATTTGGAATTCCAGACATAGCTACTTGTAACGGATAATGGTCCTCAATTCACTTCCGCTGAGTTCCGATCCTTCCTCACCGATCAAGGGGTTAGATTCCACAGAAGAATCGCTCCGTACCACCCAAGTACAAACGGACAAGCAGAACGATATGTGCAATCAGTGAAACAAGCTCTCAGAGCTATGAATGCTACTCCAAAGACACTTCGGCTCTGCTTAAACAAATTTTTAATGCACTATCATCGTGCTCCTCATCAAACCACTAAAGTTCCTCCATCATCTCTTTTCTTAAACAGAATCATAAGAACAAAACTTGACATCATCTCACCACTCTCTGAATCTCACTTAAGTCCTACAGAGGAAAATCTCGAAGAATGTTCCTCCTCAATAGACCTCAAGAATCCGTCTGTTTCCAGTCAAGCCTCTCCAAAAGGTTCTCTTCGTTCTTTCCAAGCTGGAGATACGGTCCTTTTTCGAACGTATAATTCAAAAATCAAGTGGTTAAAGGGTACAATCGCAGTTAAACTATGTAAACTTCATTATTATGTTGATCATCAAGGCACTCAACATAAACGTCACATCGACCAACTTCTACCTTTTCACTCCAACTCTACCTCCTCAGTACAACCTCGTCGAATAAGATTTCTTGATGAAATTCAAGTTGTAACTCAAGAATCTCCTACCAAACAGCGTTCAAACTTCAGTGGTAGCTCTCCTTGCAAACAGCCTCCTCTACAAATCATCCAAACTCCAGTACCAACTAAACAATCTTCTCTACCAACAAACTCACAAACGTCTCAGAACTCTTCTCAACAACAAGGCACTCAAGCATGTAAGTCCTCACAATCTCAACATACTCCAGAATCTCAAACAAGCCGAAGCTCTCCGCAAGTTCACAGTCAACCAAGTAATGATCGGTCTCCGCCCAAGCAACAATCTCCAATCTCTCTACAACAATCTAACAAAGCTCTAGTCACTCCAACCAGTCAAGCAAGACCTCTTAATGTCAAATCTCCCGAAACATTTTTTACTCCAGATGAAACAGCAGTTGTTATTACTTTAGATGAATCACCGCCCAAAAGTACAAATCGTACCCCACTATCTAGTGTATCTCGACCCCCCTCAGTAGGTAGAGGGAGGGCAATAATTAGGAAATCTATCAGACCTTCCAAACCTCCAGATCGGTATACTCCCCCTTAATCTATCAATACATACCAATCTGTCTGTAATAGTTCACTCTATTGAAATTTTATTGTTTAAAAGGTATAAATACCTCTAACTCATCTCCTGCCCTTACAGCTCTTGAATTGTAAATCCATTCTCTCTGTATGTTTTTTTCTTGTACATTTTAAATCAGAGCTTAAATCTTTCTTGTATGTTTTCCTTTTAAAATCCCTCAGATTTTAAAATGGGCAGGGAGACTGTTATGTAGCAGTTGGTAGTGTGTATGAGTAGTGATATTGTCGCTACTTAGGTGTCAGGCCTGCTGGGCAAGGTTGTATCTTTATCAATACATTCTGTCGTTATGTCACGCAACTCGTGCTCTTCTCTTTTCCGTCATCCTTAATTTCTTCCGATATAACACATTTCATTCTAAAAGTAAAGCATACCTCATATCGTAATTTTTTAGGGGAAAAATCAGAGTTAAGAAATTTCATGAAAGATTATAAAAAGAAATTTCATAATGAAATTTCATTTAACACGCAGAATTCAGGATTAAACCCTTGAAACTTATGAATCTCCTTAAGTTCATTTATAGGCACGTGGTAAACTGTGAACGGGAACTTTAGAAATGCCCAGAAAGTTGAGTAAAACAGCAAAAACATGATTTTGAATTTTTTATCTTAAATTTTGGTTGAACACACAGCCGTACCGGTTGAACACCAAAATAAATTTTACGGATAAAGTAAGACGTTAGCTTTCATATTTGGAGCAAAACAAATTTCTTGACTATAAAGAATCCTAGTACCCCCTAATAGTATATTGTTCTTTTTTGGTACAAAAGAGAGGGATCTTGAACTATCTTTGAAACAATTTAAATGATTTTTTCATTTGTCTCTGATTTTTTCAGAAATTAACAGTTTGAAATTTGAGGTTAGGGTCCCCGGTCCCCCTCCCCATGATGAGCCAGAACTGCCAGAAGAGAAAGAGTAGTAAGAGAAGACCAGAAGAGAAGAGCTGAGAGAAGACCGCGCTCCAACTGGTCTAATTGACGAATATTATTCTCTTTGAAAATCCTATATATTAAAATGCAAAGTTCCAAATCTTGGGGCATTAACTTTGAGAGAACCACCGGACCGATTTGCGTGATCTTTTTTTTTAAATGAAAGCCCCTGAGCTGTAGATTTGCAGGCTGTGATCGTTTTTTCGATTATCTCAAATTTTCTCCCATAATTTTCTCAAATTTTCTTCGATGCATTAAAACGGAGGTCCGAATCTTTGGACGTTAACTTTGAGAGAACCACCGGACCGATTTGCATGATTTTTGTTTTAAATGAAAGCCTATGATCTGTAGATTTGCAGGCTGTGATCGTTTTTTCGATTTTCTCAAATTGTCTTACTTTTATCGACGAGTGAAGTTTAGCCGGGCTCAAATTGTCTCCCATTTATTCAGACTAAAGTCCGCATGTTGGGACATTAACTTTGAGAGAACCACCGGACCGATTTGCATGGGGTTTTTTCTAAATGAAAGCTTCTGATCTGTAGATTTGCAGGCTGTAATTGTTTTTTCGATTTTCTCAAATTTTCTTACTTTTATCGACGAGTAAAGTTCAGCTGTTTCGAGCGGTCATCTAACCGCTACCTGCTTGCCCGTCCCTAGATACCCCCTCTAGGGTCTCAGCCACCCCTCCCACCACGTTCTTTCGGCTATCTCCGTTTTCTTTCGTATAGCTTTCCTTCCACCAACCTCAAAGAAGGTTTGGGTCGCATTGTCGTTCGTCACCATTCGTCACTCACCACCCACATTCCGTCGCAATCTCTCGGCTACTCCGCTTCACCACTTCTTGATAGGCATCCTGGCGGTTTGACTGACCCTGACTTATTAACTGCAGCGTTGCGCACACGTATTGCTAACAACATGTATTGTTATGGACATTTCATTCTTATTTGTTCCTTTCTCTTTACAACTTTGTTTCAAATTTGCTTGATACTTCGTTTCTTCCTCTCTCTTTATTTTGTTGGTCGGTCGACTACGTTGATCGGCTTTTTGCTATTGAAAACACATTAAGACTTCATGGAATTTCAATATCATCATTATTGATCTTCCGGAATTGCTTCCAATCAACCTGAATCTTCAAGGGTCGAAGCCTGACTCTCCTCCCCCTAAAACTATGATTCCATGATTTCTGCCGTCAACCCAGAGCAACATCAAATTATTTCTGAAATAATTAATCTCATCCAAAATCCATCTTACACGTGTAATGCGATTTTCATTGATGGTCCAGGAGGATCGGGAAAAACTTTCGTTTAAGAATGTCTTACTGCGTATTGTACAGAGGAAAACTTAGACGTCATCTCCGCTGCTTGGACAGGTATCGCCGCATCGTTGCTACCTAACGGTCGGCCGATTCAT